GTCTCAACTCTTCCCTCCTCCTCCTCCTCCTCCTCCTACCAAGAGCTGCATGTGCTGCAGACAGCAGCATCGGGCCCTCCATCACCGAGATCTCAATCTGCCGCCAGCAGGGTCAGCAGCCGCCGCATACCAGGAGGGGACCGACCTTGACCTTGAGCAGTCTATGCTCCTTCGAGTCGATCACTGCGAACCCTTCAAGGCTGCATACCAGCGCTCTGCCATCGGACGTGTACAGCGCCATCACACAACCATCGTCGTCAATGCCCGTCATGGCGCAGTCCACAAGAGACAGGAGCAGCTTCTTCCTTGACTCAGGCCCTGTCAGCAGCGAGACTGTCCTGCCCTCCAGGCTGAAGTCAGTCCATCCGAACGCCTCCCTGAACGCCTCGTTGCAATCATCGATCACCACCCGTCCCTCCTGCTTCTTGATCACCACTGCAGGCACGTCGGGGTTCTTGGACAGCATCTCGTCGGAGAGTAGCGTCTTACTGTGCGAGAGCGCGATCAGGTTGTGCGTGATCTCCTCCTGCCCTCCTTCCGGCACGATGGGAATGATCTGCATGTTTCCGTGTACCGCCATGCCCAGCTTCGTGTACAGCGTCGTGGATACCGAGCTCTTCTCCCCTCTGCGGGACCTCACGAACGCATGGCTGATTGCCTGCACGTCTGTCCCAGGGCCATGAAAGATCCTCATGCTCCTGCCCTCCACGTCCTTCTGCTCGAACCCCATGATCGCCATGTTCTTGGCTTGCGAGATATGGAAGGGCTGCGAGTTCTCAACGATGATGATCGTCTCCCTCCCATCCCCCCGCACCTCCGCCAGTGCACTCTGAAGACACATGTCCACCTTTTGCCGGAAGAACTTGCAGGCAGCATGGCAAAACTCTTCATCGTGCATGCCGGATAAGACCTTCATCCCGGCCAGCAGCAGCTACGATCCCCCTCTGACCCGCTCCCTCTCTTGCAACGCCTCGACCCTCGCACGGATAGATGTACAGTTCCTCTAACCTTCTCTGCTCCCCTCACGACGTTCTTCGATTCTTGCGCAGACTTGCTCTAACTGCTCAATGTGATCCTTCACCTCCTACTCAGAAATTTCAATCTCGCTCCGGGCGCTTCACGCGTAGATAACCTGAAAGCATGACATGGTAAGTGCTTCGTGGGAAAATCAAGACAGATCGTAACGAGTTGTCTACATCTATCTACTGCAATATGTAACAGTTACATATCGCACATCTGCAACAATCGCAAGACTGTATCTCAACGCCACCGCATTTGACCTTGACGGTCAACCTTTCAACATCATCGTCTTGGCGGACTTCTTCTCTCAAGGTCAGGCTCACTGAGCTCTAGAAGCTGATACCTTTCCTTCTCAAGGCTCGTCTCAGCTCATCTTGTCCTCCTCGTTCCTCCTCGTTCATCCTCGTTCATCCTTCCCAAACTCGATCCTATCCTGCAGCATTCCCCCCTTGGGCGCTTGTAATAACACTAGTAATGAAAAGCTTCATCTTCATTTCTGTGGCTTGAAAACACTCATTTTGGTGTGTGTGAGTCTGTGTGATGCCATCACAGATACTGTGAGATTTCGCGAGATTCAACGAGATCGTGATCTCCTCAGTGCTGATACCTTCTTGGCTATACCCTACCACTAATATTGACTCTACTTTCATAGGTGGGGGTACTTTTAGATTGGGGGTGTAGCTTCACATGGGGTGGTTGGTGGCCCGGATGGAGAAGCCTCACCCTTGAAGACTCACTATCGAAAGGGGGTGGGTCATCAAGATACCGGTCATGGAACCAGAATTTTGGCCTACAGCTAGGGGTCCAAATGGTTCCATTCCATCAGCATTACAGGGTGGGTGATCAAAACCAAACGGATACGGTAGGGTGGGTACTACTATCATACGCCAACTCAACGGTACTGTAACGGTCGGTCTGACCCCCCGTATGAGGGACTCTCATTGGCGGGCCCGCTCCGCCCAGACAAGTGAATGTAACGTTTTTGTAACGTGTGGTAGGGCGGGAGAAAGCTAGGAAGGATGGTGGCGTGGGAACTGATACCTCCTGCTCCTGCTCCTCCTCTTCTTCCTCCTGCTCCTGCTCCTCCTCTTCTCCCTCTTCCTCGTCCTCCTCCTCCTCCTGAAGAGAAGGTAGAGGAGCGAGAGGAGCGAGAGGAGCTAGAGGAGGGAGAAGAAGTAAGAGTGGGAGGAGATGTATGGGGGGGACGATGGGGGCGGATGGTACTAGTGGAAGGCGGAGAGGGAGTAAAGAGAGGAGGGGAAGGAGGAGAGGGAAAGGAGAGAGATGGAGGAGAGGGATCATATGCATCAGGAGGAAGAGCGGTAGGAGGTGGAGAATGGAGAAAAATGAAAGGCAAGGAAGAAGGAGGATTGGGAGAGGAGGCAGGGGCAGGGGCAGCAGGACCAGCACTGCAGGAGACGTTCGATGGATCCGGAGGGTCAGCGGTGACTGCAAGAGGAGACATGATAGCGGTGAGAGCTAGCGATGCTACCACTCCGTTGCGGAGCAAAGCTCAGCAGGGCCGCCCAAGGACAGTCAAACTATGTGAACATGGGCGAAAAATACGATCTCGGTGTAAGGAGTGCGGAGGAAAGAGCTTCTGCGAGCACGGGCGCCGACGATCTTCGTGCCGGGCTTGCGGGGGACGGGAGATCTGCGAGCATGCGCGACGGCGATCAGAATGCAAGGCGTGCGGTGGGGCGAGCATCTGTGAGCACGGGCGGCGTCGATGGTCGTGCAAGGAATGTCGGGGAGGGAGCATGTGCAAGCACAGGCTGTTGCGATCGCTATGCGGAGTTTGTTGTTGAGGCAGAAACTTCTGACCATTGAGGGGAGCGTGCGGGTACAAGAGAAGTGATCGTTGAAGTCAGCTGAAGGGTCTCTTGGCAAGGATGACAAGCCGTTGTTGGAGTAGGATGATTGAGTAGCCTTGTGAGTACACCCTTTACTCGTGAGATAGGGAGGAGCAGGATTGGGGTGCAGGGAGAGGGAGGGAGGGAGGGAGGGAGGGAGAAGAAGGGCGAGGGGATGAGAGAAGGTAAGAGGGAGGAGGAGACAAATCTGGAAGAGTATGACAGGACTGGGACAGGCAAGACAGTCAGGACGGGGTTCCTGCTCTAGAGCTCAGCTTCTCGTGCTCCTCTGGAACGGACTCTCGCTCATAGTCGGCAAGCTTGCGAGAGCATGCGAGTCACATGAAGGAAAGTCAGGCAGCAGGAGGTACCCGCTGTAGACGGTAGCGTGCATGCCGCGGCGGAGAAAGTTCCAGCCCTGGTAGGGGAAAAGTGTTCAGAGGACGGTAGAACATGGCAGGGGGGAGCGAGGGCGAGGGCCAGGAGGATGAGGAGGACATGAAGTGACTCCTGAACCTTGTTGGACATGATTGCTGTCCTTAACAGACGATGATTCCTGTTAGCGGCCTTGCGAGTCGCGAGCATGAGCTCGACTTGGAGGCGAAGATCCTCTTCCAATGCTGCAAGAGGATGAGGAGAAAGAGGGAGAAGGATCAAGGAGAGAGGAAGGAGAAGGGGGAGAGAAGGGGAGGAGGGGAGGAGGGGAGAGGAATAGAAGGCGAGAGGTAGGCAGAGAGGATAGAAGTGAGGAGGAGGAGGAGGAGGAGAAGGAGGAGGAGGAGGAGGAAGCGCGTCCGTGACCTCTCAACTGCTCCATCCTCTCCTGCATCCTCCCGTTCTTGACCGCAGCGATACTGAAGATGAGATCGCCAGCAAGCATCTTGGAGGAGAACAAAG